CTATAATTACTTGGAGGTCTTTAACCCATTCGCGACCGCGCCGGATTGCGCATTAGCAGAGAGTCAGGAGATTTTTCTTCAATAAAATTTGAGTGGATGGAGATTTCCCTGCCCAGGGCTGGCGTAGATGAATGAGGGTATGAAGATTCTTTTCAGGAAAGAAAACTTTCCAAATTCCATTTGAAACACGGCAGCCACCGGTGGATACCATTGTCCCGAGTGAGATCTTTGTCAGCCACCGGTGGCTGCCATTGTCACGAATGGGTTAATTAAGTTGAAAGAACCGCTGTTCAACAGTAGGATTGGGTGGATACTTTTCCAAAGAAGTGAACCCATGTAATCGTTTGTTCACTACATCAATTATGACATTATTATTTCAAGTGACTAGAAGCTTATTTAGATGGGTACGTCGGCGTAGGCAGCTGTTTAAAACATGCGAAGAAAATGATATAAAAGGAGGGAGTGGTGTGATGGGACATCCTCCCACTCATTTCTAACATTAAATTCACTCTCCAGGTAGGTCACCTGTTCATCCTTCCAGACGTCAAAGCTTATTATTGTTTTCAGCACAACATGAAGACAGCCCTGCTTGTCCTGTCCATTCTGGTGACTGTCCACGCCATCAGCCTTTTCAAGAAAAAGGGAAAGGAATGACTACTGTAAAGATAGCGACCCAAAATAGTACGTGCAGTATCTCGTCAGACCTCCTTAGCAGAGCAAGTCATCTAACATTGCTCTGCCACAAGGTTACTAAAATTATTCCTATAATATTTACAGCTGTGCAGAGAAGGTTCCTAAAGGATTCTGCACATCATCGTTCCACACCAAGCAGCAAATCAAAGAGAAATGCATGAAATCGTGTGAGATGTGCTGTGGCGACAGGGATCCCGATGAGTAAGTCCTCTACTTCATTGCTCTTTACGCCACATAGTCGAGTTCTACCTCACTGTCTTTGTTGCAGGTGCAAAAAGAAGAAGGAGACGGTGGAAGATTTCTGTAACTCATCTTTCATGTCCAAAAAAGAGCTCAAGGCGATGTGTGGTGCCACCTGCGGTCTGTGTTCAGAAGCACAGGACGATTATTCTCAACCGGCCCGCCCCTGGGTTTAGAGCCATATTTGAAAACTGTTTTTCAATAAATATATGAGACAGCATTCCCTTGTGATGGATCACCAAAGGATGAAGAAGTTTAGGCTCACGAAGCCGCAGTTGAGCACGAATCAGGAAATTAGGAGCAGTCATAAACTCCATTTGTCAATTTGTCGGTTATAGGTATGGTGTCGAAATTGAGCTCAGGAAACACAATTACTCAGCAACGAGAAGCTCGTGTAATCTGTTTATTTATTGTGCATCAGTTGGTGCGTCATCGGGGCAATGTTTTAGTTATTCGCGTACAATATGGGACAAAAAAACAAACGAACAGCTTAACTCGTTGAGTAACCAAAGAACAAGGAAAATAAAAACGAGTCATGCCCCTAGCTGGACAGGCTTGCTAGATACGAGAAAATGACCCTAAAGAAGTCAGCGCAGAACTGTTAGCTACCACTACCGTGTAGGAGAGGGATTATGTAGGCAGTGACTACCTACAGATCATTTTTAGACATAGCTGAAGGACGGATGCGAACGCAGGCGGTCTGCGGTCACGCAAACGAGATGTTACAGGGCCAAATAGTTGCTCCTTGATTCCAAATACGAACAGGCGTAAGAAACCCAAGACGTATTGCCCGAGAATACTTGCTGCATGCGCACACTACGATGAAATTTTTTGAAGGGTACAATACAAAAGTCATAATCGTTCTTACGTAAGCCACGAGTCAGGATTAGGGAACATGAGGAAGTCCTTTATAGGGTGCGAAAGTGGGGTCTCCAAGCAGAGGGGGTGTGACGCTGTCGCGACAAGGAAGTGCGCGGCAAAGGCGCTAGGGCCTTGCAATTGTGTGCTGCCGTGCTGCGAGAATTTCCGGCAGCACAGATGTGGATGTGGTGCGTGGCTGGCCTAACGTGTGAGATCAGCTGAGTTGATTGCCGTATCAACCGATGGAACGGCTGGCATATCCAGAAAACTCGTTTGGACGTGACTCTCCCCCGAGCAAATCTCCTTCACTGCTAGAAGGAATGGGTTTCTATTTAGGTGTTGTCGACAGTTTTTTTTTTCGTTTTTTCTTCACTATCGTTCCACCTCCCATCTCTAAACTCAATATCAGGTGCCATAATGCCGAAACACGAGCCTGACTTTTGCCTTTAATAGTTCTTTGCGATACACGATCCTTCAAAGACCCCAGTGAGCTCAACCAGTGCACCATGTTTCGAGGCAGCTTTTTCTGATGCCGTCCACGTAG